GGGAACACCACTAGTGACCAACTGCCAGATATATGGTCTTTGCCACTGCTTTTCATAATTTTCAAGGAAGGCTATTCATAACATTAAAATCTGGATATTCCCAGGGATAAGGCCTTGAAACACTGCTGAGAAGGTTATTTTGATGTGTTTTCCAGGAAAGAAGTGACTGGTTCTTAGGAAGGTAGAAAACGGGTTACACAATGAGCAACCTTTTCCTTCTCAACATTGTTCTGGTACCTTCTGCTTGTGCTATCACACACATTAATATCATAGATATCTTCAAATGATGATCAGTAATATACTCCAAGAATTACAGCACACATGTTCTAATAGGTTTAAAGGATCTGGTTGGGATAGATGTTGCACCAGTTCCAGGGCTTTTGCTGTCTAATTAAATCTACAGAAGGAATTCTAGAGGAATCAGGTAAACTGCATGTGGCCTGAAGGTGTGGTATGTGCCCAGAAAATGCTGAAGGGGATTGGGCAGAGATTAAAATAGTGTTTGCCATGCACAGTGAGTTAAAGCACATGCAGACCTGAATCCACCTGACTGAACTGACCTTCAGCTGTGGTGAATGTTTGCCACCTTCCAGCACTCTGTGTCACACTCAGTTCAGGGGGCACATTCACACTTCTGTGTGAAACTGGGTTTCTGCTCATTTCTAAGGCTAGAACTGTTCCCTTTGACACACCTGGTGGTTGGGCTGGCTTGCTTTCCTTCATGCAGCTTTCAAACCTTGTTTCTTTCTGCTATATGCTTTTAGATATAAACACAAATCTCCCCTGCCCAATACAAAATTACATTCATATAAGGAGCGTAGTTATATTTTCATAGTCCCATCAGCTTGTGCTTCTCCTAGGAGAAGACCATTTCTAATCATGTGCGTGTGGAGCCTGTAAAATTAATGAAGTTGTACAAATCACTTCAGTTTCTTATGTCAGCAAACCTGCAGTGCAAAAGGCTATAAAATGCCTTGGATTGCAGTGCTGAGCTGTTCCTCTGACCACTGCACCTATGACTTGGGAGCCTGGAAGCAACCTGCCATGCACTGGTGGTGTCAGGAAGATTTCCCAACTGTTCCTTCCAAACAGGGAGATCCCCTGTAACAACACAGGAGATGCTGCAGTGCCTAGAAGATAACTCCCCATGCCCTGCACACAGTAGAGCAAAGCCAGCTCAGATCTGAGGTGTTTACAGGTGAAGGAAAGGTCCTGGCTGGGTGCATTGCTCAGCAGGTCATGCTGCCTGCTGCAACAGACTGCTGGGTGGGCATGGAGATTGTACCTCCTAAGGTGCAAGGTCTTTTCCAGCTCATGTTTCCCTTCTAATTTCAGCAAGGGAAAACATCTCTGGATGTTGCTGCACGAGGCAATCACATCAACTTGGCAGACATGATTATCAAAGCCGATCGGTTTTACAAACAGGAAAAGGTGAGCAGCTTACACACCATTCCCTGTGCTTCCCAGGGCATTTTCCTCTTCATTCAGACTCCACATACCAGCTGACAAACGGGAAAGAAATACAGGATGTCCTGTGACAGCCTGACCTTTACTTTCAGCCCCTTGCTTAAGAAAAACAGAAGTCCTCACCATGCCAACAGCAACTCCTTAAGGCTTTCCTTACTTTAAAAGGCCTCTGTTGTCTGAAATCTCAGGCTGTGCTGATGGCAGCAGGGGTTTCTAAAGATTCTTTGACAGCTGTCCCCAAAGCCCTGTAGAAGGAGGTGGGATAGCATTAGGCCCTTTTCCCAGAAGGAGAAACTGAAGGGCTGAGCAGGAAAATGCTTGGCATAGAAACTAAATGGGATGTGGGGAGTTTTCCAGAAGTGGAAGGAGACACCTCTTGCAAGCAGTGACCAGTTCTTGTTGGAGTCATACAACCAACTTCCCTCTCAAACTGCAGCTGCTCAGCTCCCAGTCCCTCCTCTGAAACGCTGCCTGTGCCCAAGCCAAGCAGAGTGTGCTGAAACTACATCCAAACACGACTTCCCTCGTGTCTTAAGATTTTGGGCATCCTCCCATATCAGCAAAGATGGTGCTGGAAAGCAAAGGAAGGAAAGGAGGGCGTGTGCCTGTGGCTTGGGCGCAGCTTCAGGAGCAATGCTCTGTATATCAGGGTCTTGCATGGGCTTCCTGCACAGCCCTAGGGAATGTCATTGAGCCGATGAATCGGGAGATTTAATGAAATGATCCTGCACCAAGCCCCAGATGACAGGAGCTGTCGAAATGCAAATCTCGACCTGCATGGGCTTCCACAGCAAAGAGGCTGTTAACGGTGTTTGTTACAGTGTGTGATTGGCCAGAGCGAAATGAGAATAAAGGGAATAAAACAAATGTGCTGTGCCAGAATGAACTCGCAGCGACCCACAGAGCTGAGGGGGTGGGAGGCTGCAGTGACAGGCACTGCTGAAGCACCGACCACCTCTGTTCTGGCTTTGCAGGACAACCTGAACCGTGACTCCAACTCATGGCGGGCAAAGCACTTGACCTTTAAGCAAGATCACAGGCTGGAAACACAGCACATTCGCTCAGTCATGTGGAGATTAGCCACTAAGTACCTCAGACCTGGGGAGTGGAAGAAGCTGGCACATTACTGGAAATTCACGGATGCCCATGTTAGGGCCATTGAGCAACAGTGGACAGGTATAAAAAAACCCACCCAGGTATTTTCCTATCTTCACTTGGATTGTGTTTCTAGGAGATAAAGCTGCACTGATAGCAAAGCATGAAGGAAGCCAGTTGGCCTATTTGAAGCAACCAAAAGATTTGGTTAAAAATCCTATTTTTAATGAATGTGTAGCTACCTACACACTGGAATTTGCCTAGGTGTAAAACTCACAAGCAGGGGAGTTAGTGGTTTGTCACTCACTCATGAGCACTTGCCAGGCCTGTGAGTTCTTGCTACAATTCTTGTTCTATAGAGAGAAAATTGCTGCATTTAATTTTTTGTTTTAAGGAGCTGAACCAAGGAGGCAGTGAAGTTCCATTTAGAATTTAGAGACAGGTTGGCAGAAACAGGCCCTGAGGGTCAGAAATGTCCCTGCTGGTTTGGCTGCTGTAAGGACTCTGTAGGTTGGATGATGTGAGCAAGGGGCCAAGCTGTGCTCTGAAGGCAGAAACTCTGCATTGCCATGAAAGGCTGCCTAGCAAGCCCAACCCCATCCATGGCCACTCCATTAAGCTTCACGTGAATCTAACAATCATGTCACAATCAGGAATTAAGCTAACTATGCTTTAGAGCCACCTAGTAAAATCCAAAGAGGAAGGAGGTTTGCCCAAACCCTCTGGTGCAGAAATCCACTCTGGTCAGGACTGTGCACTTCAAGTGCAAGATTTCATGTGTGGTTTGATCTTGCCAGGCACTAAAAGCTACAGAGAACATGGCCACAGAATGTTGCTGATCTGGCTCCACGGTGTGATCATGGCAGGAGAAAATCCAATCAAGGGACTGTACGAAGGCCTTGTGGGAATTGGGAGAAGAGATTTGGCAGGTAATACTTTTGTTTTCCTTCACTGAGCATTGTTTGAATCAATTCACCTGAACTCTGTGGTTACACAGCACACAGAGGAAAACTACAGTGAAGCCAATTCACACAAGCTGAAAGCACCTGCCCTGCCCCCTTGCTTCCATTCCACGTCACTTCTTTCCTTTTCTTTGATAAATTAACACACCCTGCAATGGATTTACACCTCTGTGCAGCAGAACATTCTCTGTTACAGAAAGCATCCGGAAAAAAGCAAATGCAGACTCCACCTCCCCACGGAAGTGCACAGCAATGTAACACCAGGAGCATCCTCAGCTGGTCTCAGAGCTCCAGGAGAAACACTTCCCTGCTGCTGAATGAAAGCAGCTGCAACTCAAGGGCTTCTTGTCATGAACAGCTGGCACTGCTGTGTCCTTCTCACTCTGAAATGACATGGGTAAAAAATATGCTAATAGTAAAAAATGCTTCTTTACACAGAAGGGAGATTTTTATCAGCAATTTTGTATGGTCAGGATACTGTAAGAGGAGTTCAGTGAGTCTCACTTGCCATACTGCACCAGGAAATAGTACACTATTTTACTGTAACTTGTTTACAGTACATTTTTTATAAAAATTTTTGTCAATTTTTTAAGTTAATGAGGGAAAGCCTTTGTTGGCAGGGGTGTTCTTTACTTGCCTTTTGTGAGAGGGTGTCTTAGATGTGTCCCTAACTTCCTTCTCATGATGGGAAGCAAAAATCAAAGAAACCATTTGGTCCTTCTGGAACCTTAGGGGTCGTGATCCTTAGTGCTTTGTGTCTTCACAAAATATTTGAGAAGAACATTAACAAATACTGTTCATAAATTTACATCAACATACATGGACTGTTTATAAATAAAATAGGTGACTTTAGTCACTTGAAAAGGCAAGAGGGGTCATTAGTTACCTACACAGCCTCTGATCGGGACAGACCAATACTTCCTATTTTTAACAGCATTTCAGAGGGAAAATAATGCCTGTATTTCAATAAATCTAGATTTGACCCTTAAATTTGCAAGTTCTGTCTTAATAAAGAATGATTTAAAAACCCAGTACATATTTCTCACTTAATAAACCAGTACAACCTCATAATTAAAGCTTGAGGGGAATTCCAGCAGAAGATGGTGGTTGTCTTCATTTCCACGTTTCCAGGACTGCAGTGAACTCTGCTGCTGTTCTTCTGAAGTCAAAACAAGAGACACTTGCTGAAATTGAAGCTTTATTGAAAACCATTTTTAAACAGCAAGAAAGTTAAAAATTCAAGTGCTTTATTTCAAATAGAAACAAACTAACTTACAATACAACGTACAAAGCAAATAAGTGATGGCAACATTGTCACTTAAACATCTTGTAAATCAAATATTCAACAAAAATATATGTCAGCTTATAAGTACACAATCTGCATGTGGCAATATATACAGCTGAGTGAAAAATATAAAAAGAAATACTGTTCCGCTTAAGAACATGACAGTGAGGACTTTGGTAGCAAAAATGTCTTTCTTTTTAAAACTGTAGTCTTCAAAGATGCTTCCTTGAATCCAAAGACTAAAAATTAAACAGATCTATCCCATGACACTGCTGGAGGTTACTGTCCGTGGGTAGTTCACTGACTGTTGATCCTGGTGGAATCACACAGTGATATTCGGCTAACGCAGGGAAAAGGCAGAGTGGGAACAGTTGATTGTACACAGGAAGACCACTGAACCAATGCCTCTGTTTCACTGGCACTCCCAAGCCTACTGCTCTTCTTGATCATTGCTGGTATGAAGACTGATCTTTTGGACTTCCAGCTCTTCTGCACTGACCATGGAGGGATCGATGGCTGCGTACCGAGTGCCATGGAACTGCAGCAAATGGATCTGTTGGGCACAGGAAATAACAGGGAAACAGGTGTAGAAGCACAGTGTTTTGATAAAAGAGAAACATTCCTTCTGAGTAATTTTTGTGAGGATGAAACCATGGCTGTGGAGTACAAGAGTTCAGAGAGAGGCCAGAGAAATCCCACAAAGCCATCCCTCCAGGAACACGGATGCTCCCAGCCCTGCCCTTTGGCATCAGGTATATTTACCTGGACCAGTGGGAGGTGTCCCTGCCCATGGCAGGGGAGATTGGGACTAGATTATCTACAAGGTCCATTCCAACCCCTTAACAATCTATGAATCAGGGAGCTCAGAGCTAGAGTGTACAGAGCTCATGGAAGTTATAAACTAAAGCAACCACAGAAAAGGAGTTTCACAGAGACTCACCTGAATATATAGGTTGACCTCAGCACTCCTGCAGAGATATGGGAAGTTGCCTCCTGTTTTGAGGTGAGCTCTTCTGGCATTGGGGTAAAGCTTGTACATTTCCTCTTTCGCTTCCGTGGAAAGAGCACTTTGATCAAACACCTACAGAACAAGTCACAGCAGTCAGCTCAATCTCAGATTCTGTTATTACATCAGACTGGATAGATGCTGCTCCTAGGAGCAATTCTCAGCTTCTCTGTGGAACAGAAAACAAGCCAATTTGGGCACTGACTGCTAGAAAGCCAACACTGTGACACAAAACATATAGCTGTGTAACTGCCCAGAATAACCAATTCACAACACAGCACATGAGTCACAGTGCTACCCAGGCAGCAGAAGGCTTCTCTAAATAGGAAGCTACATGCTGCAAGTGCTTACTAAATTGCTAACATAATATCAAGGCCCCACCTGCCAAGGGGAGGAAACTGTTTAAGAAAAACATTAAGTTGAGATTAACTTACATCCATGATGGTTACAGGGATGTCTCTGATTTTATGAGGTTCTACATAGGAGTTCTGGCAGTTGAGGGTGAGTCTTGAGGCGAGCTCGCTCTGGCCCAGGCTCTCCAGCTGCATCCAGCAGAGAGAAACACTGATTAACAACATATTTCACTGCAGGAAGTTAATGCCATATTAACAATACAGCCAAAGAGAAGATAGTTTTGAAGGGAAACATGAGCACACTTTGGATGAAGACTATAATTCCAATTTAGTATTACTCTGCATGAGACAAATGCTTCAAGGGAGTTCCATTAGTTGCTCCTGTCCCCAGACCACAGCCCAAAGATGTATCACAGCACTTTCTCCTCTTCCACCTCAGTTCCTTAACTTCCTCTCTTTTATTCTATATAAATAAACAGAACCAAGGTAGAGGGTCACCACATCAGTTAAACTGCTGGCACGGTGACACTCAACACCGGCTAAAGATTCAGTCTGCACTTCTCCCTCATGGGTCAAGAAATGAAGAAAGCAGAAAAATACCTCCAACCTCCCACTCAGTAAATCCACATGACACCAGAGCCTGCAGAGCACACAGCTACCTACCCTGTCCACCATGAAATCAATCCCATCAGCCATTTCAGGATCTAGAGGACCAGATGCAAAATTCCCAAGGACAATCTTTTTCAGCATAAAAGCAGGCATGAGCCAAAAGCTAAAACAGAAACAAGATGCAACAATATTCAAGCACCAAGGACTCCAACATCAAGATACTATGTTGTAAACACTCCCTTTCCTTGCACAGACTTTGTGCTTCAACTTCAAATGAAATCCTGAAAAAACTTCAAGGGCAGAGACATGGAAACCTGGCAGCTAAGTGCCTGAAATGCTCTGGGAAGCTGTTAGTCTTACATGGTAAAAGTATATTTTAACCACTTTTCTTGCTCTAAATGGTTTTGCTAGAGAACAGGCAGAGCTCTTAAATCTGACCACACACACACAGAGGATCACAGCACAACTTGTCTAATTCCACACTCTCAATTGCAACGATTTCCATTATCCTTGTGGTGTGCCTTTAAAAGTCACAAGTATTCCACCCCACACCTCCACCAGCCAGGCTGGAATCAGGTCAGACATGTCCAACTCAAGCAGTCTGACATTTCACTGCAAAAAATACTAATGCCATGAGTGTGCATGTTTGTCTCAGTCCTCCTTACCTGTTTGCTGTCCATGTCTGATTGAAGATAGAAGTGTCACTAAAGGCATTACACAGGATCAGAGATTGAACTCTGGGAGATTTGTGTGTGTATTCAGCAAATTTTTGAGCCAGAAAACCTCCCAGAGAAGCTCCAAAAAGGTGAACCTAATTCAAGGAAAAAGCCCAACACACCAGATGACGTTAGACTTGTGAAATGTGACCTCTGAGCAGTGTTGCATTACAAAAATAGGTCATTCAAATTTACCCAGCCACTATAACCCATTTTTGGAAAGAATCACTATTCCACTCAGCTTCTGATGTTATGCATGATATAAATGTGATAAATGCTGACAGAAGGAAGTGTTTCACACACAATCCCAGTGCAAATTTCTCGGTGTTCATCAAACTTAAGAAAAAACCTGAACATTTCACTTTGTCCTCCATAGCTGTTCCAATGCAGGATACTGGATTGTGGTGGATTGTGGTGTTCTGTGCTATGTGAGTTAGGAAGGATAACATCCATGGGATCCCACAAAAAAAATGGTTAACCCATACAATTTAACAGGCCTAGAATAGCAACTGAATTTAAGCCAAGTGTGACAATTTCCAAGGGTATTCACCTTCTAAAATAAACTAGTTTCAAGTGTGAAATTGCAATACAGCCTCTTTATTTACAGGCTGCATTTTTGTGTCCTATTTTGTACTCTGGCTCTTAAATGAGGCTGCTTCAAATGTCAGATTTTTACTGCAATGATACCTCCATTTGCCCATCTCCAAACACTCACTTTATCCAGCTGAAGGTGGTCTAACAGTTTCCTGAACCCATCACAGAACTCGAGGTGGTCCCAGTACACTGGATACTGCAACTAAAATAATACAGAGTTAGAAAAAACCTGTCTCAGATCAGCCTTCTTCAAATCATATCAGTTCTCACATTAAAGGTTTCAAGACCTTATTGTGGGGCTCCTCAGCAAGGTCCCTACAGCCCAAGGGTGCCAACACCTCCCCCTCAGTACACAAAAACACACAAAGTGCCCCAGAGCAAGTCTGCTGGGGAAAGTGCAGCATTGCCTCACCCTGTAATCAGCAGGAGGGGAGGCTGGAATGGTTCTTCAGTGATACTGTAGTGTGTAACAGCTACAGAAATCATTAACTGCTGCAAGAGAGACCGCAGCACTCCTAAAGCCAGGCTGCTCAGCAGAAATACTGTGGTACAAATCAACCAGTTCAGTGCAGCTCTGGAGTGGAGAAGCCACAAAAGAGCAGGCTGGTAGGACTTTAAGGAGTGACACAGTATTTGCAGATGTTATTCATTATTAGTTACAGCTTATTATTATTATTTGCAGATATTATTATTAG